TTGGAACCCATTTTCTTTCAGTGTTTGAAATATGTTATTCCAGGATCTTCTAGCTTTCAGAGTCTGTGTTGAAAGATCAGCTGTTATCCTGATTGGCTTACCCCTAAATGTAATCTGCTTCCTTTCTCTTGTAGCTTTTAAAATTCTCTCCTTATTCTGTATGTTGGGCATCTTCATTATAATGTGTCTAGGTGTGGATCTCTTATGATTTTGCACATTCGGCGTCCTGTAGGCTTCTGGGATTTGGGATTCTGTCTCATTCTTCAAGTCTGGGAAGTTTTCTCGTATTATTTCATTGAATAGATTGCTCATTCCTTTGGTTTGGACCTCTATTCCTTCCTGTATCCCAATGACTCTTAAGTTTGGTCTCTTTATGTTATCCCATATTTCTTGGATGTTCTGCTTATGGTTTCTTAACAGTCTTGCTGAGCTGTCTATGTTCTTTTCAAGTTGAAATACTTTGTCTTCATTGTCTGATGTTCTATCTTCTAAGTATTCTACTCTGCTGGTAGTATTCTCAATTGAGTTTTTAATTTGGTTTATTGCTTCCTGCATTTCTAGGATTTCTGTTTTTTTGTTTTTAATAACCTCTATCTCCCTGTATAGTTGATCTTTGCTTCCTGGATTTGTTTGTGTAATTCATTGTCGAAGTGATCTTTCATTGTCTGATTTTGCTGTCTAATGTCTTCCTTGAGACTCCAGATCATCTGAAGCATGTATATCCTGAATTCTTTATCTGACATTCCATCTGCTGCAGCTGTTACCTCTTCTAAAGTTGAGTTGACCTGCATTGCTTGTGGTCCTTTCTTTCCTTGTCTTTTCATACTGCTTGCGTTTCTTTCTGCTTGGTGAAACTGTTGTGTTTTTGAAAAATTTTCCCCCCTATATATTTATATTGCTCTTGTATAGTTGAAAAGTCTCTCTTGCAGGGTCGGGCGGCGGTCTGCCTACCTTGCAGGCGCGGACGGCGGCTCTGCTCTGCCCCTCCTCCAATTGGTGTGACGTGTCTACCACGCCCGCGGACCCCTGGGCCTGTTCTGCCGGTCGGTCGCAGGTCTGCCTACCTTGCAGGCGCGGGCGGCGGCGCTGCTCTGCCCTTGCTCCAATTGGGGTGATGTGTCTACCACGCCCGCGAGTCGCTGGGCTTATTCCGGGCGCGGGAGGCGGCTCTGCTCTGCCCCTACTCCAATTGGGGTGACGTGGCTACCGTGCCGGCGGGCCGCTTTGCCTGTCCCAGGCGCGGGCGAAAGCTCTGCTCTGCCCCTACTTCAATTGGGGTGACTTGTGTACCACGCCGGCAGACCACCAGGCCTGATCCGCTCGTCGGTTGCAGGTCTGCCTACCTTGCAGGTGCAGGCGGCAGCTCTGCTCTGCCCCTCCTCCAATTGGTGTGACTTGTCTACCACACCCACGGTCCGCTGGGTATGTTCCGGGCGCGAGCGAAGGCTCTGCTTTGCTCCTACTCCAATTGGGTGACGTGCCTTCCACCCCGGCCGGCCGCTGGGCCTGTTCCACCGGTCGGTCGCAGGTCTGCCTACCTTGCGGGCACGGGCGGCGGCTCTGCTCTGCCCCTACTCCAATTGGGGTGACGTGTGTACCATGCCGGTAGGCCGCTGGGCCTGATCCGCCGGTCTGTCGCAGGTCTGCCTACCTTGCAGGCGCAGGCAGCGGCTCTGGTCTGCCCCTCCTCCAATTGGTGTGACTTGTCTACCACACCCGCGGACCGCTGGGCCTGTTTCGGGCGCGGGCGAAGGCTCTGCTCTGCTCCTACTCCAATTGGGGTGACGTGCCTACCACTCCGGCTGGCCGCTGGGCCTGTTTCACGGGTCGGTCGCAGGTCTGCCTACCTTGCGGGCACGGGCAGCGGCTCTGCTCTGCCCCTACTCCAAATGGGGTGACGTGTCTGTCGCGCCAGCAGGCCACTGGGCCTGTTCTGCTGGTCGGTCGCGGGTCTGCCTACCTTTCGGGCGCGGGTGGCGGCTCTGCTCTGCCCCTATTCCAATTGGGGTGACGTGTGTACCACGCCGGCAGGCCGCTGGGCCTGATCCACCGGTCTCAGAATTTTATTTATAATGCTATTTTATTGAGACTTTATCCTAAAATATAAAAAGATATATTGAAAGCTGATATAAACATTTTGATTTTAGAAAGTTTACTCTTACAGAATATAGACAGTGGATACTAGAGTAGTGAGACAAGTGGCAGGAACCATTGGAGAATAGTTTTCATTGTAAATCCTTGGTAATTTTTTTTTCTGTTCTTTTTTTGGTAGTTGTTGTTGGTGGTGATTGTTTTTTAAGTGATACAGTTATTTCTAGCATAACATAGATATCCTCTAAAATGAATTTGAATGTTCTGGCAGCTTATTTAAGTAAATTAGACATTCATTTAATTGACAATTAAGCATATTCAAGGGCTTTTGTTTTTCTTTTTATTATTTTTTTTACTTTTAAAATTTAAATTTAAATTCTGTGTTCAAAATAATATCTTTGTTTAAAGAAAGCTAGTACATATCCATTATCCTTCTCACTCAGGGTTGCAAATAATATTGGAATAAAGATCTTCATATCTAAAACTTTGCATTCTTCTTTATTAAAAAGTATATTTTGGGGTTATGGCTCATTGGTAGAGTGCTTGCCTCACATGTGCAATGCCCTGGGTTCGATCCTCAGCACCACATATAAATAAATGAAATAAAGTTAAAAAAAAGTATATTTTTAGGTACTGGGGTTGTGGCTCAGTGGTAAAGTGCTTGCCTAACATGTGTGAGGCACCAGGTTCGATCCTCAGCACCACATAAAAAATAAACAATAAAGGTATTGTGTCTATCTACATCTAAAAATATTTTTTAAGTATATTTTTAGAAGTGTAATTAGTAGTTGTATGCACATAATTTGGCATTTTAAAGCTTACTTTAAGTTGGTTATAGTGCCAGATTGCTTTCAACATTACTCTTTTAGCATAGTTCAGCAATAACCAAAAAGTTATTTCTAAAAATACTATTATAATTTTAATTTTTTATCATGTACAGTTGGGACAATAGTGTATTAAATAAGTTCCCTTCACCCATCTCTCTAATTTTTCAGCTGTTGACCATTCTTCTTTACTTTTAAATTCTCTTGGGTAAAAAGATTGCCAATATGCAATATTGGTAGAAATGTACAGAATGATTAGTTCAGTTGTCAGTGAAAATAAATACATTTGGGCAATATCTAATACCAATGAAAATGGGCATACCGTATAACCTTCAAATTCTACCTCTTTATGTAGGTATGCTCTTAGACATTCAGGTAAAGCTTTAGGAACCATCTACAAGACATCATTGCATACTCATAGTGTAAAGCTGGAAATAACCTAAATGCCTGTGAAGAAGTAGGGATAAAGCATGTCCTGTTCATATGACTTATTTACTAACATCTAATATTTCTTGGTATAATGTCTCAAAATTATGCTTAATGCAAAAGGAATTTCTCAAGGATATATGCTGTTTGAGAGCACTTGTATATATTTTCCAAATGAGCCTTAATAAATATGTGTGTGAGTGTATAGTTAAAAATAAATGTTAAAAACTAATTTGAAGGACTTGTACAAATAACATGATAATGATTGAATATTGGAGGAAGGGGTAATATGATAAAATGTTAATAGTCATTGTTAATGCAGTAAAATAGGAATGTGGATATTATCTGATTCTTTATAAGCCTCTTTTGATAATAATAAATTATAGGGGGCTGCGGTTGTGGCTTAGCAGTAGAGTGTTTGTCCAGCACATGCAGGGCCCTGGGTTCAATCCTCAGCACCACATAAAAATAAATAAATAAAATAAAGGTATTATGTCCAGCCATAACCAAAAAATAAATATTTTTTTAAAAAATAAATTACAAAAAAGGGAAGTCTGAAAAGCTTTAGGTAGTACATTGATGGAGAAAGGATAGGACAGATCTGGGGCCAGTATGCAACAGAAATTTTGAGGAATCTGCTGTATCATTCCAAGTGAAGCAATAGAAAGTAACTAAATATAAATATTGCTTCTTTTGATATTTTTGACTGGTGTAACCATATTTCCTGAACAGTAGAAGGAAACACTTGTCTAACTTCTTTTCCTGTATCATGTTGTGAATAATACATAGTTCCTATATTAGCAGTCATTCAGTGGATATTATTGAGGCTTTGTTGGGTACCATTATAGGTATTTTATATATAGCCATTTACAAGACCTACAAGAGCATTACTCTCAAGAGTTTTTGATTTTCATGTAAGTAAAAAAACACTCAAAATTTCAGTCACCCAAAGACATTTTGGTATTGTTGTTGGGTATACCATGGCTTTCATTAATCTTTCAGCTGCAGTGCTTGAGTTCCATGTCACACTACATAATACATAAATTTTCTGATTTAATCCTGAACTTGATTATAATTTCCTATAGTGCTTGGTTATACTCTAGGAATGTAAATGATGGACAGAATTTAAGGGATTATGAAGTCACTATTTGAACATAAAGTAATTTTCTAGTAAACATGCCCGCCCCCCTATTTTATAGATGAGGACTTGTAAATGATTGAAATTTGTGATGTGCCGAATATACCTCACGTAGGTCTTAAAAAGCTGTTTCCTATTTATATTTGTTTTAAGTATTGTTTGACTAAAGTCTCAGCTGCAATTTAAAACATTAAGTATATTATTAAATAAAACACAATATTGAATATGTTATTATATTTAAATATATAAATAATCATTTCATTTTCCTGTTTTCAAATTTCTTATCATTTTGCCAGTCCATTTAGCAACTTATAAGATAATTTGCCATTCCCCCTCATTTCTCTATTTATGTACCTGTAAACTTTATTCTTTGTGATGTTGAGAATAACACTAGACTCACTGCATCATGACCATGCCTGTCAGATGCAGCTGTATTTCAAGCTCTGATATAGCCATCCTACAGTTATCATCTGTTGTTTCCCAAGTTGCAATTTTTTTTCTGTTATGGCTAAAACCTAACATTTGATGATTATTTTCCACCCAGTTCCACACTGATCTTTGATCCTACAGAATACTGAAAAATGCCCCCGCTTTTTGCCAAAAATCTGACAAAATTATTTGGGGAGTCATCAGCAATAACACCAGACTTTATTTCAATAACCAAAGATGAAACAGCTGCTTTATTGTCCAGCTCAGCACTCATGCATTCAACATAAAATCATAATGTTTTCCAGCTTTGTGCAACTGTAGGTATTTTTCTTTGCTTTCTAAATATGCTATGGTTATCCTTTGTCAGATTATTTATATATATATATATATATATATATATATATATATATATATATATACACACACACACACACACACACACACATAGATATATTGTCAGATAATATATATGTATACATATATATATAGATATATTTCTTAGTGTGTCTTAAAAATAGGACTGTTCATATTAACATAAATAATTATTTTATAAATTTTACAATAACATTCCATTTGTTTGGAGTTGTAATTTCCCAAGGAAATTTGATTTTACCATTTTTTGATTTTGATTTTACCATTCCATATTAGCGTCATATTTCTTATTACTGCTTATTTTAACTGAGTACTTGCAATCTCTTATGGTTTTCACATAGAATTAATAACCATGATTTGAAAATATTAAATGAAAAATTCTAGAAATAAAAATGCTTAAGTTTAAATATCTTATGTGTTGTAATTATTTTATTTTTATTATTATCTATTATTCATAGTTTAAAATTAAACTTTATTATAAGTTTATGTATAGGAAAAAAATATACAGTTGTTCCTCAAATATACATGAGGGATTGACTTCAGGATTACCCCCCATACCAAAATCTTCCCTTATATAAAATGACGTAATATTTGCATATAACCTTCATACATTCTTTTGTATACTTTATATCATCGCTGTATTATTTATAGTACCTAAAAAATGTAAATGATTGTAAATATGTTTTGTTTAGGAATATGATATTTTAAAAAAGGTGTGTTACATGATCAGTAGAGATAGTTTTTTTCTGTAAATATTTTTGACCCATGTTTGGTTGACCATATATACATAGAACCCATGGATATGGAGAGCCAAGGTTTGGGACTATGGTCTGTGTCATACATTCACTGGGAATCTTGGAACATATTCCCTGAGGATGGGGGCGCCTGCTATATAAGAAACAAAGAAAGAGATGAAGGAAACAAGGGGAAAATGATTTAAAATATTTTATTAAGTTGTCAACCCCATATTGTGAAGGATTGTCCTCAAGGATGCAGTGTTTAGCCTTCCCTTCTTAAGAAAGGCAATAATACCCCCATCCCCTTTTTGGCTCTTTCAGCAACCTGTGGTAGCTGTTCCTCTTGTTATGCCAATTAGCAGAAGGAAGGAGGATGAACTGTCTGTTGGAAGTGCACCCATGGCAAAACAGCAGTCATATCAGGCCTCTGAATATGCCAGCAGCCCTATAAAAACAAAAACAATAACAGGTATGTGTCAAGAACTTTAAAGGGTCTTTGGTTTTACTGTGCCTCTAAACTTAACAAGTTAGCCCACCTGGATTTTATGGATGCTGGCTGAAGTAATGACACTCTAGGGATGAAGAGAATGGACTTTGTTATGTACATTAGCAAAAATCCGAATAGTAGCATTTTTTTCTCTTAGTGTTCTAAACCCAGTTCCTACAGGGTGACGTGAATAAGGGCCAGGTTATACCTATATATGGTGGTTTATGTTACTGGAGAGGAATCTTAAATTTAACGAGCTGAACATTTTATAATGATAGAAAGCATGCATGCCCTTTCCTCTGATGGGAGGTTTTATGTCTACTTTTCAAGACTCTAAGCACAATTGCCCTTTTTTTCAGAAAGGCAGATGGCATCTCTGTTTGCTGAGACTGTTCACTATTCAGATATCCTGAAAACACAGTTGGGAAGAAAAGCCAGTGTCTGTTTTTACAAAATAAGCAGAAACACAAGCCACCCACAGAGCATTGTCTCTTAAGAGTATTGTTCTATATTTAAGTGATTTTTGTGGGGAGAGTACCAGGGATTGAACTCAGGGCACTTAGGCACTGAGCCACATCCCCAGCCGTATTTCATATTTTATTTAGAGACAGCTCTCATTGAGTTGCTTAGTGCCTAGATATTGCTGAGACTGGGTTTGAACTCATGATCCTCTTTTTCTCAGCCTCCCGAACCACTGGGATTACAGGCAAGCACCACCGTGCCAGACTAAGTGAATTCTTGAAAGCCACTATACAGTGTACACAATATTCTTTTCTATTTTTTTCTCTCAAATTAATAGATAGATCATTTATGCAAATGTAAAGTACAAGTATTTTTCCATAAAATGGTTCATTGACGTTTGTATAATAAGGAATGTACTTTATGATTGCATTGTCAGTGTTCTTTCTCTTTAATTTCTGGTTTTTATGATGATGGGCCACCTTTCTTCAGTTAATTTTATATTTTTCTTTAAATGTTTAGCTTTTTTTAATATTATTCAGATATTCCCAACCACATTGATAAAGATTTAAATTGCAAAAAATCAGTACCAGTCGTTGAGTGTTTGTGATGGGCAAGGAAGGCTCTGTGTTAAGTGAGATTGAGTGCATAAACAAGATATGATCCCTTTCTTAAGGACCTTAAATTGATTGTGTACATGAGGAAAGTCTCGCCAACATAATGTTTAAGAGGAGGAGTTAGACTTCTACCTGTCAATATCCATCATCTCTTTATTGTGTTGATATTTTATTTACAATTGATTAAAATGTGTATACTCAGTATTGAATCATTGAAAGAAAAGCGGAATGTTCTCTCTAGTAAGTGGATGCTGATCCATAATGTGAGGACATGGGAAAAATGGAGGAACTTTGGGGCAAAGGGGAGGGGAGGGAGAGTTGGGGAGGGGGTGTGGGGATGGGATAGATGGTGGAATGAGATAGACATTATTACCCTAGATACAAGTATGACTGCATATATGGAGGGACACTACATCATGTACAACCATAGAAATGTAAAGTTGTGCTGCAATTATGTACAATGAGTCAAAATGCATTCTGCTGTCATATATACCTAATTAAAAAAAGAAAGAGTACAGATGATAAAAAATAATTAGAAAGTAGTTAGTTTTGATGTATTATCTTTGCTCTAATATAATTTATTCACTTAAAAATGTACACAATTAAAGAAAATAACTTTATGTATACATATCAACCATTTATTTTTATCTTGTCTTACCATTTAGTCCTGTTCTTTAAATCACATTTGATAATTGACTTAAAATAATTGCTAAGGATGATTAATGATTATAGAAAATGTTTGTAAATGAAAATACAAAATATAGAATTATATAAAACTCATAAATTTTGAGATGCACCTGCATATGCATGGAAAAATTTTATATTTAAATTCATATCAGTCATATTAATTAACAAATGGTATCAGTTGTCTAAGAATTACTTTCTTTACTATATGTCTTCATGTTTTTATAAGAATTTAATAGTGATTTTTTTCAGTGAGGAAAAGAATAAAAGCAAAAAATCGAATTCCCTATTGTTAATCATTACTTTCTCTCTATGAAAGCATAAACAATGTCTGTAATAGAGATGAAAATATTAAAAAGCAGGATACTCCTTAAGTGACAATTTAAAAATTAAAAAAAAATTGTATCTCAGTTGTAAAGAAGTGGAAAACTACTCCTCCCGCCAAGAGAAACTAGCCAATAGAAATAGAGAAATGACATACATAGTAGAATTAGCAGGTTCATTAAATACTTATATGTAAAACAGGTATGATAACCATGTTGAAGGATTCAACATGGACATATTGAGGAAGAAATGGAAGGCATCAAAAGGACCCAGACCCAACTCTAGATATGAGAGAGACAATATCCACAATTTAAAAAATAATGCAGTAAAGCTAGAAGTACTTTAGACATCGCGGAAGTAGAAATCAGCAAACCTGAAAACAAAGTGATAGAAACATGCCAAAATAAAGCATCAGAATAATAATGGGGGGAAAATGTACAGAGCCATAGTGATCTTTGAGATAGGTCAATTCATTTATTCATGGTTAAAAAGTTGTTTAATGAGAATTTTTAAAAAAATAATAGTGCCATAATGTAGTAGGCTTTCTATGGTTATTCTTTATTAATGACATAGTCAGCCCTGAGAATCAGATCTATGCCAGTTTACTTGTCTACTGTTTCCTCTGTAATACCTTCACAGTGCCTTTTTTTTTTTTTAAATCAAGGGTATATTCTAAATTTGCATTCCATTCCCATAGCATTAGGATAGTGAAGAATTTTCATCAGAGTTCACAAGATGGATACTCCTGAGAAACACCTTACCAGTATCACGAGCATTGGTATCACATTAATGGTGCACAGTTAAGTTCCTAGATGATCCTCAAAAATGAAACACTTACAGCTGATATTTTTTCCCTTGATATGTCCTTAAATATATTCCAGAGTCATTGATACTTCTATCAAAGTAAAACAAATATATGTTTCAAAGTTTTTTCAGGCTCATAGAAAAATCTCTCTTAAGATTATCTAGTTTTGGAAGATAATGAAAAATATGTTAACAGGTAATTTGTTTACATTATGGATAGTGAAGCATTTCTTACTCTTCTTTCTCCTCTTACAAAATCTTTTGGGAGTGAGCTTTGATTATTTGGTAGAATCTTTTGACTGTATTTTTTAACCTTATTTTAAAATATAGTGTTTTAAGTCTAAGGAATAGTTTCATAATATGGCTGTATAATTTAGGATTGATTTAAATTTGTCTGAATAATTCTGAAAACTCTAAATATCAGTGGTTTAAACAAGACTGAATTTTATTTCTCTCACATGAAAGTTTGAATAGACACCTCAAATCTATTATGGTACTCTAAAATCATGACTCCAGGTAGTCTTTCATTTCACTGTGGGTGGCCTCCATTGTCAGGCTTGCCTTATGATCTATGATGACTTTTTTATTTATTAATAAAGTGAATTTCAGTGAGCAGAAACAAGAAAAGATGCCTACTTCTTATTTCTTTAAAAACTCCCTGTGCCCCATTTTTGTTTACATACTTTTGACCAGAAGCTTGTCACATGATTATATTTACCTACCTAAGGATCCCCTAGGAATGTAATCTGTATTCTTTAAGGTTAGGTGTCTGGCTAATATTTGTTCTGAGAAAGAAGGGGAAAGTATGTGTTAGAGGTCTTTTATTAGTCTTTGCCACAGTAACTTAAAATGGACCATAATAAACTAAATTTTGGAATAAAATTAGGAGAAAAAAATCTTCCTTTTAAAGAGGCTATCAGAAGACAAATCTGGTAAAAATGCTTTCATGCTTGAAGTGTTGCTTAGATTTTTTGCAATATGAAATATATGTTTGAGAGCTGGGATTGTGGCTCAGCGGTAGAGTGCTCGCCTAGCACGGGCGGGACCTGGGTTCAATCCTCAGCACCACAAAAAAATAAAGGCATTATGTTGTGTCCATCTTTACCTAAAAAATAAATATAAAAAATAAACAAATAAATAAATGTTTGAGAGTCATCTTATGTGGACATATTGGAATTCATGATGGAGGAGACTTAGAAGCATCATTATAAGAAGTAGGTAACATAGCAACAAATTTATATTAGACAGTTAAAAAGACTTTTTAAAGAATGTGAGTAACTGTGATGCACTACACAATCTTCAGAAACAGTGAGGCCATAAAAATAGGCTCTTAGGGGCCGGGCTTGTGGCTCAGTGGTAGAGTGCTTGCCTCAAACAAGTGAGATACTGGGTTCAATCCTCAGCTCTGTGTATAAATACACAAGTAAAATAAAGATCCACTGACAACTAAACAATGAATTTTAAAAAATAGGTTCTTACTATGAGGTCAGTTGACCAGAGGAACTTTAGATGCTAGGGAATTGAGGAGGGGGATGGTTTGTATATAATGCTCTTTCATGAAAGGTTACTATTTGGACAGTTGGGTATGTCTGTAGGTATAGAGAAGAAGAAGAGGAGAAAAGGCAAATTAAAGATAAAGTCAAGTCATGATTATGTGATAGTTTATACTGTGAGGTCACAAATAAATAGGATAATAAAATCTGATGCAAAGATACAGAGTTTAATGTTTGAGAGAATGACTTCTTTTGAGACAGGGTTAAGAAGGTAACACTACTAGGTTAAGATTGTAGGAGTGGTCATATTACATTTTTTTAAATACTGGTTTATGCCTATACAATCACTAACCAGTTTTGTTATTGTTTAGGTAACTAAACTCTCAAGTAGCCCTTTATTTTATATATATATATATATTTTATGGAGTATATTCAGTATATTAAAGCAAAACATATTATACTGCTATTTTTCATCATGGTATATATTATTCCAAGTTTTAATTAATTAATTAGTACCAGGGATTACACCCAGGGATATCTAATCCCTGAACCACATCCCCAGCCCTTTTTAATTTTTAGTTTGAAACAGGAGTCCTGCTCA